GAACTCAATACTGTGGCCCTTAGGAGGAGGCTAATCTGAAGCACCTCTTGTGTGGCTGGGTATTACCAAATCTTTGTACTTGGAACTCTTTCTGTGAAAAATTAGTCAACGCAAAATAAAAATTAAAAATTTGTGTCATTCTCAGAATATTGATATCTTTTGCACTGACAGCTTGAACTAGAACTTGAACACGGCTGCTGTTCAGAGAGGCTGGATGTGGGAGAGGAGTTTAGTCCTGTTAACAATTCCTCAATCCTCCAGAGGTCCAAAAACCCCCAATGAGAATCTTTGTTGCTATGTTCCCTAGCTACATACAACTGGTTGCCTTGGACTATTTGTGTTGCACATTAAACCATGTTAAAACAGTGCTGGCCAACTATTTTTCTCAGTAAAGATGAGGAGTTTGGAAATAACCATTACTGCTTCCCTAAAACATTCTAGGAAGTTAGTGTTTATCCTGAGTGCCTCATAGCCGAGGGATGCTAAGGGACTGCTCTTGTGTGGAGCAGCCAAAGGGCTGAGAAAGCTCTGAAGTCTCTGCACCCAGCACTGGCACATATACTTCCAGTTTCCATAAGCTCATAGCTGAGACAGGCAGCAGAGTGCAATAGTGCATGTAGCTGAAAAATTGTTCTTGAAACATATGGAATTCAGCTCAGTGCATTTCTCCTTCCCTTGTTCCAGCTGTTCTTTGAGGCTACTTGCAAGCAGGAAGCGGGATCAGCAGATGACATACCAGAGAAAGAGTGGGTATGGATTCACGGGGGAGTGAAAGGGCTGCTGTCCCCTAATGGAGGGGCCGTGGTATGTGGGACTGAGGCTGTGTGTGGCCATAGCAGCAGTTTAAGGTTATGTCACTGTCAAAGTTCTGCCCACTCCTAGGTAGAGGTGTGGAGTCAGAATGCTGTTATGAGGTATTTTCTCCCCTATCTGCACGTTACATTAATCTGGTGCCACGCACTCAGGGTAAACATCACGCACTGGGCTGCTTTCAGTTTCTTTATAGATTGACTTGAAGGCTGCCCCGTCAGACTTGTTTTTCTTCTACAGTTAGGAATTCCAGTTTGTTTCAGGTGCTAGGAAAAGCTATGGTGGGTCAGCTTGGGGTGAGCTGAGCAACTCAACCCTGCCAGCAGCAGCTACTGAGTGTTAGAGATGTCTGCTGCCAGGCGTCTTAAGAGAGCTCTAACCATACCCGATAATATGTGCACATGTAATCCCACCCATGGCAAATGCTGGAGCCTTTCCTGTGTAGATGTGTTCTGACCATGGATTGAGCAGAAAAGATGCTTAGCCCTATTTTGGAGGAGCAAGGAGGGGATTACACTCTCTCCTGGCCATGCCAGGAGCACCGAGATGTAAGCAGAGCAGCCCCTGTCATTGCCTTGCAGCGAACCTTGTGCCAGCCACTTTCTGACTATGGGTCTCACTTTCTGAGAAAGTATTTTGACAGGAAGCAACTGAGGAAATGAAAGCGCTTTTATGCATTTCAGACTTAGAAAGAATAATGAAGTAATTATTTAATTGTTCATTATGAAAGCGTACCTAAAAACATTGCCTCTTTTTTGCCAGATCTGTTTGTATAAGCATTGGGAACAAAGAGACAAGAACGACTCTCCCTGCAGCTACTTCTTAGTAGCGGGTTGCGGAGTGGGATTTTGGTCTGTGTCCTGTCTGTTTCCTGGGTTTGAGATAAGGCTACCCGCTTGTTTTACCTATTGAGAAGTGCTCTTTACCCTTGTACTTAGTTTATGTGGCAAGGTTTTGATCTGGCTTCTGTGAGAAGCTGCTAAAAGTTTCCCCCATGTCTGATGGAGCTGATGCCAGCCGGCTCCAAGACGGAGCCACCGCTTGCCAAGGCCGAGCCCATCAGTGACGGTGGTAGTGCCTCTGGGATAAAGTGTTTTAGAAGGGGAAAAAGTTGCTGCGTGACAGCAATTGCAGCTGGTGAGAGGAGTGAGACTGTGGGACAGAAACCACTCTGCAGGCACCAAGGGCAGCGAAGGAGGGGGCGGAGGTGCTCCAGGCACCGGAGCAGGGAGGTCGGTGGTGGGGCAGATCTCCACCTGCAGCCCGTGGAGATCCCCACGCCGGAGCAGGGGGATGCCCAAGGAGGCCGTGACCCCGTGGGAAGTCGGAGCTGGAGCAGGCTGCTGGCAGGACCTGTGGCCCTGTGGAGAGAGGAGCCCACGCTGGAGTGGGTTTGTTTGCAGGACTTGTGACCCCGTGGGGGACCCACCCTGGATCAGTCTGTGCCTGAAGGGATGGCACCTTGTGGGAGGGACCCACGCTGGAGCAGTTTGTGAGGAGCTGCAGCCCGTGGGAAGGGCTCACGTTGGAGAAGTTGGTGGGACTGTCTCCTGTGGGAGGGACCCCACGCTGGAGCAGGGAGAGAGTGTGAGGAGTCCTCCCCTGAGGAGGAAGGAGCGGCAGAGACTGTGGGTCATGAACTGACCACAACCCCCATCCCATGCCCCCCGGTGTCACTGGCAGGGAGGAGGGAGAGAAATGGAGAGCAAAGTTGGGTCTGGGAATAAGGGAGGAGTGGGGGAAAGTGTTTTTAAGGTTTGGGGGTTTTATTTTCCATTGTCCTACTCTGATTTGGTAATAAATTAAACTAGTTTCTCCAAGTCAAGTCTGTTTTGCCTGCGATGGTAAATGCAGAGTGATCTCCCTGTCCTTATCTCCACCCATTAGCCTTTTGCCATGTTGTCCCTGCTCTGCCCAGCTGAGGAAGGGAGTGATGGGGTGGCTTTGGTGGGCACCTGGTGCCCAGCTAGGTCACCCACCACAACCCTTCAGTACTGTGCAGCATTTCCCTCCTGGCCACCTACACTGACCCAGCAGTAGGTTTTGGCTATCAGTTCTGGCTCTATGGGGTGCTCTTCCTGTGCTGTCAGTTCTGCCAAGTACCCTGAATGTCACACTACTACTCTGACTTTCCCTCAGGTCTTAGAGACAAACTGGGTTACCACAGGCAAAATCTCAGCTTCCAGGATAAGTGCTGTGACAGCAGGTGGCTATGTTGCGTGCACTAAAAGCTCTTCTTCAGTGCTGGCTGTATGTCCTATGGTATATAAATAATCTCATCAGTTCAATGCTTTTATATCCCTGCACGTCTCTGGCCCCCACTTTCATTTCTAGTAGCCCCATCTAACTCTGCCATGCAGGGCAGGGTGGATGGCATCCCTCCTAAAGTCTCAACAGCAGCTTATTTTGAGCTGCTTATGGATGAGTAGCAATTCTACCTAGGAGCTAGAGACTGAGACTGCTAGACAAGGAAATCTTTAACATGTGGGAACCATGTTGCACAACTGGTGGTGCGTGGTTTTCTGAGAGCAGTGTGTTTTAGGAAGAACGTTAAGGGCCTTATGCTTGAGGAAATGAAAGATCTCCAATAGAGGCTACACAGCTGGGCTTGGACTGGCTTATTATAACAATATTGAATTTTGGAACAGCTCCCTGATAACTCATTATCACTTACTATCTCTAGAGAGCTGTTGTCTTAACCTATAGCCTTTTTTCTCTGCTAAACATGGTATGAGCTGCTCAGAAAGAGCAGAAAAGTCTTTGTTCTTTTCCCTAGTGGTGTTTTCTGACTACTTCAAGAGACTCGTGGGTGTGGGAACCAAATATTGATCTGAGAAAGATTTCTTTCTGAGTAGGCAGTCATACCCAACATGATTTCTTGGGCCACTGCAAGGCCTTAAGTTCTGTCTGGAAATGTAACTCTTTGAGAATGGTTAATTATGTTTTTGTCATGGCTCGCTCTTATTATGTGTTTGTTTGAACTAGTCAGAAGCTACCAGTGCAGAAAGATGCACAAAATTAGGCCTCCCAACAAAGCTGACAGAAGGCACAGTACCTCTCATCCCTTGCTGTCATTCAGATTTGCTTCGCATCTCTTATTTGTGGCATGTTGATTTATCGTCACAGTTACATTAAAAAATCTCTTGGTTTATGGTTAGTTCTCAAAATGCTTGTTTCAATGTCATTATAGATAAAGCTTCTTGGGTCTTCATACTGCATTGGAGTACTTTGTTTTGCTGTTTGGGATTGTAGGATTTAAAGATGCTGGGTGGAGAGTCTTCATGCACGAGTGTATCATCCTCTTTTTTTTTCTGTCTACTGTAGAGTTCCTCAGAAGAATGAATGTAAACCTGGATAGAAAATTGTTTGAAGCCTGCAAGGGTAAACAGATGTATCCCTTCCTGGAGTTAACTGTGGAGGACGTTGTTGTATTTCTCCTCATTTCTCTTTGGAAAAAGACTTTGGCAGCAGAGGCATAGGGATTATACTAGAGTCTGTGTCTTTCCACTTCCCCAATACACAACAAATCTTATTTACTGGTCTGTTCACAGCTTTTGAATAAGTCTATTCCATATTCAATTATATATTTAGACATGCACCTCTGAGCAATTTGAATACTGCAATCCTACTTTTCTCCCTCAAAAAAATTGCACTCGTGAACTCACACTTTTGTCCCATCTTTAAAATGTCTGAGAAGGAAGGACTATGCTGAGAGCCAGTGTGGCAGACTGTAATGACAAAATTGCAGTCCTGGGACCTACTGAGAGAGTGGCGGCATCACCTTGTATTTCATTCCTGGAAACTGAGGCATATACCTCTTGACTTGCTGATGTTAATATTGAACTTCTCCAGAGATCTAGAAGCCTTGTATACAGGCTGGATGTGATCCTTCTAGGTCAGGGCAGGCCCTAACTGAAGGAAGGGTACAAGATAAGGGAAATAAGGAAGGTGCCATTTAAAGAAGCCTCCCACTAGCCCTTATCTGCAGAGAAAACAAGCTGAAGCACTGCAGACCAGAATGTGTGAACTGCTGCAAAACAGTTCCTTCATTCAGAGCTAATAAATAACATTTTCTCTATTAAAGAGCAAATGTAAAAGTGGCTCACTGAAAAAAGAATACCTGTAGTATCTCAAAGTGCTTTGTTAAGGCTAATGAGCATTATTTTACCTGAGAGGCAAAGTCTGGGAATTAGAGGGCTTTCTTTGATTTACTGAGGGCTGTGGAGACTCTCTACCCTCCCTCTGGTCCAGGCAGCTCATGCCAGGTTATGTAACAGGCATAGTCAAACAGCAGAAGGGCTGTAGAAGCATGCATGTGTTGGCAGGGTCAGCTTTTAACACTGACCCCTGTGCTGGGACCCCTTGCATGGCATGTTAGTGTCAGACCCAGGCACAGATCTCAAATCCAGTCTGTTCACATCACTGCTGCACTACATGGAGAAACAGATTTACTACCCAGGTACCCATAAACAGGTTCCTCAGAGATTTTCTGGGCTGTGTGATTGATTTGTTTTGTTTTGTTTTGTTTTTCCCCCGCCCATACTTTCTAGCTTGGAGTCCTGTGCAGTAGAGTGGACTTACCTTGTTCAATGACAACCCTGTGCTGTGTTCTTAGGAAGTGAAAGTGAAAATCCAGCTGTCTTTAAAGAAGGGAGAGCCAGTGGTGTGCCTTTTTCTCTGGGATCTAGGTGGCTTCTGTCTCCTCTGCAGGGCTCTGGAAGAGGAGCTGAGTGAACTGGGAGCTGGAAGGGCTGCTCAGACACATGGAGAAGGGAAGCGAAGTGGCAAAGGGCTTCCTTGGACACAAACAACTTTTGAGGTACTCGCGCTGTCATATTCTGTCAGGGGTCCTGCCTTACAGCCAGTCTTTTGTCTTAGAAATTCTTGCCGTTTCCTCTTTTCAAGTAGGCATTTAGAAGCAGGCACTGCGGCAGAAGGGAAATTATTAGCCTGTTAAACATTTTCTCCATAAGGAAGAATGTGAATTACTTGTGGGCATGATCTTGCTAAATAAATAACACTGCTTTTTACAGCACTGACCGCAGACTTTCATGCAGTTCTGCACTGCTTTTGCATTGCTTGTGTGAATACAGAAACCCAACAGCTTCAAGAAGTGGTGCACTTTTATATAAGTGTGAGTGACCACAGAATAGAACAAATCTATTAGAGCATTTGCATCTTTGTGTAATTCCCGATTAATTTTTCCTATGTTTAATTAACCCTTATTTTTTTGCTTATAGCTCCTTAGAATTTTTTGCTAATATTTCCTTTTCTAAAATTACCATTTTCTCCTATTTGCAAATAAAGGATAATTTGCCAGGAGCCTTGCAGTAGAAATCTTCACAACTCTCCTGCTTTCCAGTAAGCAGCTGTCACCCAAACTGGAGCTGATAGTGCATTGTTTGCCCTGTGTCTAATGCTCTGCTCCCAAAAGGGATCTGTGAGGACCCTGGTGGCTCTGGGTTCCGAGCAAAACAGAGAACCAAAACAGAAAGCGTCAGTCAGTAAGGATATTGGTTTTAAAGTAAATTAGATTAAACCAGGGAAACTGTTCTTTGCACTCGTGTTAATGTGCTGCAAGCAGAAAATAAAAATGTTAGCAGTGTTTTCTAATGGTTACTGTGGAAAAAATGTTAAGAGCAGTTGCTGGGAAGCTGTGTACTTTCAGTATCTTTGCAGAGGTTTCTCAGCTCAAGCACAGAAAGCCGACTGCTTTTTGCACGGGCTTGTTGGAACTGTGGAAACAAACTGCACTCAGCCTCACTCTGGGAATACTGGTTTTGTCTCTTCCTGTGGCTTTGGTTTGCCTTTTTTTTTTTTTTTTTTTCCCAAAAAGCTTGTTGAGAGCAGTATTCAATAGATTAACAAGGGAAACATGGTAAAAATAATACAAAAATTAGCTCTTATATAATTGTACTCCTATTCTAGAAAAGAACTTAGAGTGGAAAATCTGTAGGATCTTCTAAAGTTCTTTGGGTTTTATTGTATTGCTTCCTTACTTCCTTTGATAGTATAACTTTCTTCAAGCTGTTTGAAATTTGAATCTTCTCCATGTGATACTTCAGGTATCAGATAAATCTTTTCTGACGATGCATTGCATTATTTCACCGAGGTGGTTCTGCCTGACCATATAAGCCATATACTAAAATGCTCATAAAGCTATAGACCCACAAGGTGTGTGGCTGGAAGAGAGAGAAGGGGCAGGGAAATGCCGTGTTTACAGTTGGAGAACAGCAGCGGATGTGGGTCCATGACCGCACTTCATGGTCAGCTGGAGAGAGAAGCACATCTAAACTCTCCAGGAGAGCTGCCCTGCTCTGCTGTCCCCCGTGGCCGGGACCTTGGGTGACCCCCTGCTGCAGCTCTGTGCTTGTCACCATGGGGGTCCCCACTGAAGCGGCAGCCTCAGCTGGGCGGTGCTGGAGGCAGAGGTGGTACGTCTGAGGATGCACACTGCAAAGGCAGTGAGCTGGTTTAATTTGTGCTGAAGTAGCAAAATGTAAGTGTCTAACCAGAATATTCCAGGTTGTAAGCTTTTAACTTTGAGAGAGGATCTGGTGGAAATGATCCTATTGGATTTATGACTGACTTTCTTGTCTTCATAAACACAGGAGTTGTTTACTGTGTTGTGTTTGCTATGAAGTTATGGGAGAAGGAAAAACGGGATAGTTTTAGGTAGTGATTTTTACTCAAATGGAAAAACGGGATAGTTTCAGGTAGTGATTTTTACTCAAATAGATCCTTTCAAAACCAAACCCAAAAGACCTTGTTAGGGCTCTACAACTTTTGATTTCTGGTTAAATACACTTCCTCCTGCCAGCGATCCCAGGGTGGCTTGTTTGTGGGATCAAGTCTGACTTGAGGAAAAGCTCATCAACTGGCTATCGGTGATTGGAGTTTGGTGAAGGACCTCCAGATCCTTGTGGTTAGTAATTTTCTCATCTGCTGCTTGCAGCTGATCCCCTTTTAGGGTCTGGCATTGCTTCAGTAGCTCTGAAAAATGAAGGTTTGTATTGTCTTGAAAAGAAAGGCAAGCAAGCAAAAAACTTGATGAAAAATATTTTCTATCCAAAGTGTGTTTTGTTTTAGATTGCAGTGTTTTATTATTAAAGTAAGTTTAAAACTGATGGCAGGAGGTGGCCAAGACAGCTGAAGACTCTCAGAAACCTGCCAAAAAAAGAGGATTGTAAGACACACCAGTGGGAAGAAGCAGACAGTTGGTGGACAGTGTTCTAACTTTTGAAAATGAAGGGAGGAGGGTGAGTAGGAAGGAATGTCACCGGAGAGAAGAGGAAGGGAGATGCCCTTTGAGCAGAATGAGAGGAGGGACAAGGAGACCACAGAAGAGAAGAGAAGGCAATGAATGATGACAGAAGATACAGACTACTGAAAAACTAATGAGGAAAAAAATTATTGGCCTTAACATCTGGGCAAATAATTCTCCCAGATGTGTGGCAGCTGGTCTGTGAGAACTGCATCAGGCTGGCGAACATGCTCTGAGGAGGAGGACAGACGTATAATGATCTGGAGGTATTTAAAAGATGTGTAGATGAGGTTCTTGGGGACACGGTTTAGTGTTGGACTCAGCAGTGTTACATTAATGGTTGGACTTGACCTTAATGGTCTTTTCCAACTTAAATGATTCTATGATTCAGTGATTCTAAGGTTGATGACAGTCCCTTGGCACTCATCCACGGGGGGTGGGACAGGCATTGTTAACTGGTGCTTTGCAAAGCAGGAAAAAAGGTAAATTGAGTAATGTGTGACCTGGTACTGACTGATCTGCTTTTGGAAAAAAAACTCCACCAAAACTCATAAACATAGGAACTATTTTTAGATCTATGGAAGGAGGATGAGAAAAGATGCTGAGCTCGTTTGATACTCTCAATGCTGTTAATACTTGGTGGGGCAAGAAGAAATTCTTGCAAGGTTGTCTAGGGGAGGAGCACTGTGCATAAAATGGAAGAATACGTCCCTCGTGTGGTGTGAAGTGGAAGTGGATGGATCACACCTTTGTGGGTGTCTGTGGAGCAGTCCCAAGGACCTCAGCTCAGTCCAGTATCTCCTGGGCTTGGGCCCTGTGTGGGGGTGTCGAGAGCCTCGGGCACTGTGGAGGGACCCCAGATTTTATTCCACAGGAAATTTTGCAGTCTTAAAGACTGCCTCCAGTGTCTGTGCAGCTGGGAAGGGCTCGTGCTGCGGGGTGTGTTCCTCCTGTCTCGTCTGTTTCTGGGACTCGAGGTGGCACTCTCAGCAGCTCTAGACTAGCACAGATCATGAGAGATAAGCAGCTATTAACTTTTGGTGGATAATTAATGCATAATTAGGAATTAATGCATAATCCATTTGGAAACTTCCTCAAGGTTGTTCTCGGGTAAGTGACATACCAAAAAGGTTGTTTTAATGGAAGCCTCTAACGGAAAGCTCCTAGAGGCAAAGCAGTTTGTGATTTCCAGAGCTAGGCTAGTGAGGAAAGTTAGGTGAATTTTCCAGATTTTTTTTTTCCTTTGGAAAGTGAAACTTGTGTTTTATTAAAACACAATTCACAAATTCACGATAGTTTCATTGAAATTAATGAGGATGAATTTCTGATTAAATTCAATACATTTTTTTTGAAAAAACCCTAAGGTTTTTTTTGTTTGTTCATTTAACTTGAACAGATACTTCCTGTCAGGTCTTCTAAATCAGAAATAAAATTCAGTTTGACAATAACGATTTCATCTTAGGTCAAGCAAAACACTCATTCAGCACAAAACATCTCTCTTGTGTAATTTTTTGTGTGTTTTGGAAGCGACAGCAAGTCAAGCCGTTATTTGTTGTGTGTACTGAGTAATGGGTGCAGGGTTACTGCCTGGAGGACCTGGACATGAAGCCTCTTGCTCAGCTGGCTTAGGAGGGATTTGCCTTTCCCTTCACAAGGACTTTTCTCATAGCAAATCTATTGGCATGACTGGCCCAGGGATGGAAAGGGGTGTAAGTCTGGCATTTGCAAAAGCCGTCTCAGAGTGCAGTAGCAGCTGAGCAGCATGAGTGTTTCTTTGCCTGTATTCCTGCTATCTTGGCTAGAAGAAGCTTTACGCACTTGGCCTGGAAGTTGTTTTCTTTTTGACTTGAGAAAGATAAGAAGAAAGATAAAAGATGCTAAACACTATATTTAATGTCCAAACAGGGAAATGACTGAGAAAGGATCCTGGTGATCCTGCCCTGGGATCGTGGAGGATCTAGGGGAGCATCCAATGCTGCTGGAGCTGAGCACCCGGGGCAGAGTGATGGATTCTCCCTGCTTCACATGGTTATGCTTCCTGCTTCTGACCACTGCAGCCCCCCATCCGAGTGAGTCTCCTTGTTCAATCTCATTGCTTTTCACTGCATGGTGGTAGCTAAAAACTTTTAAACTGTTATTAGAAAGCTCAGTCATGTCCAGTTAAAACTAAGAACGTAAAACCACTAAGGTGAGAAAAGAAATCAAGAAGGTGAAGGTTGATTCATTTGACCTGTTGCCATCACCTAACTCGGGAAGGATAACTTTTTGTATCAGTCTGATGAGGTGAGTCCTCTCTGGTTCTTTACCAGGGCAGTCTGAATGAGTAAAACAACTTTGTCAGCTCTCAGCACCCAGCCCCGGTGTGTTCCAGCTCAGCCAGGCTGCTGGTGCATTTTGGCTTGGCTGTAAAACTGTTACCTGCAGGAGTATCGAAGTGAATCAGTGGCAGTGACCTGGGACAGTGCATCCAGCTGTATGTAGTCTGGTGTGCAGCTGTGAACTTCATTTGTCCTGGGATCTAGACGGCTGCTGGAGATATACCTGATAGGATTGTGCCAAGGAGTTTGGGAAGGAAAGAAAAGATGATTCATCTGAGCCTGTCTGGGCAGAGAACCTCTTAGCTCAACAAGAGAAATGTCTTTCAACTCACTTCCTAAGATGCCAACTTCCTAGTTAAAACTCCAGTGGCAGCAGTGGGTATTATGTCATATTTCTACCTCTCAAATTAATTTGGGGACTGGGCCCAGAACCAAATAAAAATTGCCCATTGGCAGACAGTGTCTTCTAAGCCATGACTGGGTTTTTCCATCAAAACTCATCCCATTCTCTAACACCAGAAGTTTGGGGAGAAAACTAGTAGAAAATAATTTTTCTTTGTTTTCTTGTTTAGATGTTGCCATGCCCAGTGGTGACCTTGCTGAGCAAACACAAGGCTCTTCCTTTGGCAAAACATCTGTGACAGTCTACCACTGTAAAGACTGTGAGAGCAAGATATGCAAATTATCTAATTATGAAGACTTTATAAAAATTGGTGAAACAGAAAATGAGAAGTTTTCAAATGAAATAATTCAGTTGGTGACCACTGCAACACACATCATTATGTGTTTTGAGCAAGAAAATACTCCTGCTGAAGGAGTTTATGCCATTGTCTGGGAAAAAGCCGTGGGAATTGGAGACTCGTGTGGCATCCTGAATTCTGGAGGTATGCTCCACTGGGAGGCTGGCTATCAGCATATGGAAAACATATTTCTGGTTATGAAACTGAACTGTTATATATTTGGGCAGATGGTGAGTGAGGTTCATGAGTGAAAAAGGAGTTTCTTTTGTGAAAAATGTCATTAAGTCATTCACAGAAATAAAATTATTTCAGGTCAAACACTGCTTAAAACTACACTAATAGATATTCAGATAAATACATGTTACCTGATTTATAAAGATGATACTTTTTTCTTTTTTTGGCAAGAGAAATTCTGGTCAAAATCTGTGCCAGTTTGCAATTTATAAATCTCATCTACCTCAGTCAGTACACACTGAAATCCAGGTCTAGCCTGAAGAGCCATTCTGTGTTGCTCTCCTGTAAAAATCAATGAAGAACCAGGAGATATCCTTCCAATTTTCTCAGAAAACTGCCAAAACCAGAGATTAAAAATGCCAGTCAGTACATGTAGCAAGTGGCTCAAGAGGGCAAAATTTCATGGTGGATCAGGTTGCACAGGTGTAATTTAGTTGAACTCCATCCAAGTCAGTGACATTTCACCAGTTAACAATCTGATTGAATATATATTCAGTTTTGTCTTCCTGGCTGTAGGTGATTCTCTGAAAGCAGCATTCATCACCTCTCTTGTTAGACTCAGCACATCCTTTCTAATCTTATTGCTGACAGAATAAAACAAGAAAAAATTCTCAACTTATCTATGCTTTGGTTCAGCTTAACAGTTGCTCACACATTTAATTTCTGACCACTGTAAACTCTTCTCTCCTGGATTCATGCTTACCACTGCAAAATATCTACATGCTGTTACTACTGTGTAAAGCTTGGGTGACACCAAAACATCCATATTGAAAACTGGAAATTGCTATAGAAATAGCAGCCTATATTCCTTGAGATGGCATCAGGTAGATGTGCTGTGTGTGGGATACGTAGGTAGGTAGGAGTTTTCAAGATAATGGCCTTTACATTTCCTACAAATAAGTTTTATAATGGCACAGTGGCATACAGGCTAGGTGGGAGATGCACTCTGGGGTCTCCGAGATGAGTACAGCTGCTGGTCTTGCTTGTTCCTCTTCTTTGGCTCCTGCGGGCAAACAGGAGTTGCAAAATTTTGTCATGATTATTATTTAAATAGATTTTAATTGCAAAATGATAATGATAAGTTTTTTACAAATTTTTTGGTGTTCTTGATTACATGTGAAAACTTTTTTGCCTTCAGATTTCAAGATTTCCATTACTGGTTCACAGAACAGTTCATCAGCTTTAGTGAGAAGAAAATCTAAATGACTGGTTGATTTGAACAGTTGGTGGATTAAATGTGAATGTATCAATCTTCAATTTTTTGTGGTACATGAAGGATCTTCTTTTTTAACCTATTAACCTATTTAACCTTTTTAACCCTTGATTGAAGATCTTATAAATGATCCATATTTATAATTTAAAAATCTTTTATCTTTCAGCTTCCTCAGAAAATAGGAGGAGTGACATCATTATAGAGGAGAATAAAATTTGCTGTGAAGCAGAGATAAACCTCTCAGTGCCCAACTCCCCTTTGAAGTGCTACACTAGAATGTCAGATGAAAAATCAACAACTGACATCACTGGTGAGGTCAATCTCTTCACGTGTGTGTTTGCTTTGAGAGAGTTTTGCCCTTACAGCTTGAGGTGAACAGAGTTTTATGTGAGCGGGCTGTGGGTAGACTTTCAGACTTTCCCCTAGCCTGTGTGGGTGCCCAGTCCTGGACATATAGATCCATAGGTATAGGTTTCTGTAACTGTAGCTGTAGAGCTATAGATACAGGGATGCTGAGGGAATGTGGTACGTGATGGGCATGCAACAAGTTTCCAAGAATTCCACTTACCAGTAAGAGGTAAATGAGACTTCACCTTTAGACTAAGAGGACATATATATAAAAGTATTTTTTGTATCCAAATTTCTTCCACTGTAGAAATCCCTGACGTCTTCCTTTAAGTTACGGACAAACAGGGCATCTTTGCTTGGGACAAGTAAACACTACTTACCCTCTTCTGGGGAGACTCCTTGGTAGGGATATGGATCTTCACTTTTGGCTGTGTTGGTTGTTTGGGTTTGGGGTTTTTTGTTTGTTTTTCTTTGTAATTTTGGAGTGCATTCTGGATGATTCTATTATTTATCTTCCAAAACTAGACCAGTATTAAAATAACCTTTCTAGATATAAATATGTTTAATTTCCAGTGCACTGAGGTCTTTAAAGAATGGTCAAAATGGATTTCCTTAGTGGCCTTTGAACCTATCATTAAGGATGGGTCTCGTGCCTCTTGTTTTTGGTTATTTCAGATGAGAGAGATGTTCAAAGGTATCTGTTGTGGCGGGGAGTCAAGAATTAGCTTCGAATGTTAATAGAGACCTTCTTTTATTACAGGTATCTTCATTAAGGTATCCTAAGGCAGAGGCTATTTGTTCTCTCATTCACCACTTCATTCTCTCATTATCAGCTTTTGTGGGGTACACTGCAGAAGCACCAGGCCAATTCTTCCTAGGTGCTGCTTACGAGGCACGCTCATTTCTTGGCACACCAATTCACTTGGACTCTCTTTACTTTTTTCTATTCTCCAGGTAATGCTCAATTTTCAATCAGTAAAGAGAGCAGAGCCGGCATCATCGTCTTGGTACTGTTTCTTGGGGTTTGTGCAGCAGTAGCAGCATATCATGTTCGACAGATGAGAAATCATTGAGATGCTCTACATTGTATGAGCCTTGCAAGCAGCACTGGTAATGGAAAAAGCATACAGGGTTTTCCTTCTGGATCTCATTTCCATAACATTGTTTATGAAGTTGCTAAATGATATTCATTGTGAAGGGGAGGCTAGGCTAACAGCTGGTATGAACTCCAGCTCTGCATTTGGTGCCATAGTCCCCAGTCAGCTGTTTTTTGCTATGAAAAATAAGTACAGAATACATTTCCTCACTGCTACAGTAATAGAGCCAAGCGATTGCCCTGCTCAGCCTTCGCTCAGTGGGATCCAGTTCCTCGGCATAGTCTCAGACTGCGACATTGCTGTGCAGCTTCCCCTGCAGACATGTGCCAGCCCAGGAGACTGCTGGACATCCAGATGTGGGCTGACAGGTCTTTTAGGTGAATGGTTCCCACTCACAGCTCTGCCCACTGAAGAGCCAATTTCAATTTAAGAAGGAATATTTTCCTAGATACATCCAAGGGGGGAGTTTGTTTTGCAAACTAATAGGCATGGAAAGAGCTGGAATAGGCTCTATGGAGTAAATGGGGAGTCTTGTGAATAAAATCTTCTGGAAGGATCTTCCTTCCTCTGTATTGCCCTCTGCTCTTTCCTCCTCCATCACAACACAGATACTGCAGTATTCTTAAAGTGAGATAATATTAAACCACCTCTTAGGTCAGAAATATTTGTGCTATAACAGAGTATAGAACTTGGGATGCAGCTGTGCTGTCATATAGCAAAGTATCACACCTGACATATGTGGTGGGGATTTGTGAAGAAAACACAAGGCCTGTGGATTTGTTTGAAATGGATACCAGTGAGTTGCTCAGGAGTTTCAGATAAATATTAATTGGGAAAAAAAACCAACTGCAAGTTAGTTTTAATTCTTCTAAGTAAATCCTTGCTAGTGCTGGTACTTTTTGCTATTGTTCTCCTAGGATGTGTCATAGTGCTCCATCAGATTTTTAATGGTCAGATAGGACTTTCAGGGGTTTAATTTATGGTAAATGATGAAATGACATTACTACAATGGCCGTAGGGTGTTCAGTGAAGGACTCAATGTGTTTACTAGGACCATGTTCAGTGGATGCCCATCTCTTCCCTGCATAAGCATGAGTCAATAGATTTTAGCCCCTACATGACTTTGCAGTGGTTCCAGTATGCATGTGTTGATCATTTACACGCTCTACAGACTCCCTTTGACCCTGACATACAGCTTCCCACTATATCCTGTAGCCAACTTGGCTCCAGGGTTTATGGAACCTTGTGTAGTGCCAGAAGCTGAGACATCTCCTCTCAGTTACTGTTTAGAAACAAAATGTGGTTGGTTTTTTTTAAGGTTAATTTGTGGTTAGAAGTTAGTTAAAGCATAAGATTTGCATACTGTGCTCCCTTTCAACTGGGGAGAAATAGCTGTCTTAAGAAAATGATTCATCTCACCTTAAAATGATTTTAAGATGAAACAGATTAATTACCTTGTGAAGGTGCCTATTTCTGTCTAGTAAATCTAAAGGAAGCCAATGGGAACAAGCTGAGATGTTTGAACATCTGCAGTTAGATAAAACAAAAGGCTATCTGTGAAAAATGTAAGTTGCACAAGTTCTTACAAAACCTGGTAAAGGTAAGGCAATGCTAGCCTCACTACAATCGTTACATTAAGTCATATTGATAGGTATATTGGTGTGATAGGTAAAAAAGTTACTCCTTGTGGGTCCTCTGAGGTCCTGCCCTGTGCTGCAATGCTCAGTGATGCTTCAAGCCTGTCCTAGAGCAGCTTTAAGGCAAAGGCTGAGACGGCCACAGCAGCCGGGGCAGGGTTTCATCAGAGACACCATGAACTTGCTGGGCAATGAAGCTGCAATCCTTTCACCTTTCAGAGCAAGAGGTGGTCCAGTAGCAGATGGGACAGGGTAGCTGCCCCGAGGACATTGCACTCCAGACTTCCAACCCTAAATACAGGCAATTGGATTATAATTCTCACTGAAATCAACTTGTGCCTTTGACCTCACAGATGTTTTTCTTTCAATTCTGCAGCTATTAGAGAAAACAAATGAGCTTCTGACATGTAAAAACTTGCATCTGTTTGAAGAACATCTACATATGAGAAAACCAGGCCTGTGCCAGCAGCGTACTCCTCGGTAATGACATAGAGTATTCAGCTGAGGAAACAGAGCTCATTTTATACGAGACCTCATGGTAGTTTTCACAAATGTACCTTCACCAAATCTGTGCGTTCACTAAGGACTGTGATTGCCACAGTTGTCCAGCTCCAGGCCTTGTGAGCAACACGAGAAGCTCCCTGGATCTCCCATCCGCTCCTGGTGCTTCACTGAGGACAGCAGCCATCGCAAGATGTGTGTCTCACTCAGCAGCACAGCTTTACATCAGCTGAATTCTCTCAACGGTTTTCATGATTGAAACTATCAGTTCATCTGAAATTCTTCAGAGAGCTGTGTTCTTGCTCAGGAAAGATGTGCCAAATCCTGACATCTTCCATTTCATAATGCGATAGCATGCCCATAGGTCTTTATTTTTTTAATTCCCAGGTGGACTCTAGACCTAAAAAAAAAAAAAGCATTTTGTACCAATGACTGATTAGTTGAATTAGGGGGTTTGGCCTTTTGAACAAATATTTGATTGTGCAACCGCCTGCGTGTTGAGGACATCTCCTCTGTGCGCTTCTGTGGAATGGCTGGAAAACAGCAGACATATTATGAGCGATCCAGACTGAGTTGGCCTCACTATAACAACAGTCTGTGGCTGTTGTAAAGAACACCTGCAAGGCCAAGGGGCTGAGAAACTGTGTGCGTAGCAAAAATATAAGGAAGCTGGACTGTGGAAAACAAGATATTTTCCTAGTAGGAAAGCGGCATGTGGACACCGCACAAGGACCCATCATAGAGGGCAAAAGGGCGTGTGGACAAGTAGCTTCAGCCTATTAGCAATCAAGTACCTGCGTGTGTGCTTTATGGTGGTCTATAAATTGCTGTGTATACTTTAATAAAGTGGCATTAACTTGATCACATTGGTCGTATAAGTTATGTCTGGGACTTCTGCGTCGGCACGCTTCCTCCTGTGCAAGGGTGGACAGGAGGGCTATACCCAGCTCCCTCAGGAATGGCATTGGGGCGTGGAGGCCACAGCTCCCTCCCAGGAACTATGATGTCAATCTCCCTGATAAATTAGGACATAATACTGGCAATTTTAGTGTGGGACACTTTCAACAGAAATTCCAGTGGATAGGAAAGCATATTGATGTTCCTGTTCTGCTGCCTTATCAGAAGACTACAGTATTTCCGCATCCAAAGACAAGTTTGGGTCTCCTGTATGCAGACGGTGTGTAATGAATTCTGCACTGCAGGGATCCCCATTTAGTTGTTCACAGGCAGTAGGTCATCTTCGAATGATTTATCATTCACGCTTGATTTGAATAAATCCTCAAATGTTTGCATTAGACCTAATCTAGTATCAGGCTTTTGAGCAAAAATCAGCAGCAGCACAGCTGGAAAAGCAGATCCATGAAACAGTATGAGTACTTGAGTCATTTTTACATGGTTTAATCACCCATAAACCCGTAGCTGAAACTTCTAGCAGAAAATCTCAAAGGATGTAGAATATCATGTGAATCTTGAAATTTGCTACAATTAAACCTAAAGGAAAAGTTCATAGTGAAAGACATAAAAAAAAAAGTTATTAATTCATTTTAGGAATAGAGAAATGCCTCTGTGCTTAAATTTGGCTTGTTTGGCACAGGAGACTAGTGCTGTTACGGGTTGCGTTTTTTTCCTTCCCCAGTGGGGGCTTTGCACTCATGCTGACCTAAGATACCCTTTTATCTCAACTCTCAGTTCATTTGTTGGATTTTACTTTTTCAGTTTTCATGTGGAAATACAGAGAAAACCTCATGAAAAGATGGCAAACCCCAGTTATTCAAATGCTTTTAAGTATTTACTGAGTATGTTATTTTGACAAATCCAACTGTGAACTCTATCATCATGAATATTATGCTTATTCAATAAGCAAAAACTAAGATTATCTGTGAAGAGTCCAGGCTGTGCAAGAATTTAGAGACAGAAGGAAAAAGATTTTTTCCTCTTTATACAGCACCTCAGCACAGAGGCAGTTTCTGTTCGTTGGTTTTGGTGGTTTTTCCCCCAGAACAGGACTGCTGTAAGCTTTCACCAGAGTAGAGCTGTGTCTAAAAGGAGTGAGAAAGAAGATTGTTTGAGATAAAAGCCATCTTTTTTAAAAGGAAATAATATATCTGCTGCTATAGCCTGGGAAAGGAGCACTCAAATCGGGTATGGGCCTTTCACTTTTTGACCCCGCTGCAGCTGTCACGGGTGTTGCTTTTGGTTCTGTTTCCCTCCACTGCAAGTCTTTACTGTGGGTGCCTTTGAGGAAGTGCCAAGTGCTCCATCTTATGCAATCAAGTTGTGTACTGTGTTTCTGGACATTTCCAGTGATGTGCACGTTATTTCCCTATACACAGAAAAATAGTGTCTTAAAATTGAAGGCCATGGCAGTTCTTTTCTATGGCCTTTTAAGGAGAAACTAGATGTGTCTATGTATGTGTGTGGAAAAATCTGTGTGTGTGTGTGTGTGTATGGTGTTCAAATCAATGGCTGACACTGGGTGGCTTCAGTATAAACTCAGGTTTAGTGTACTTTGGAAAAGGGACAAAGTGATATTTGAGAACTCGCATTGTATTAACTTGAGGGATTCAGGCTTAATGATGTTTAGATTCAATTTCTACTCTTGAACACCAGCTGGTGCCAGAGTGCTGGACATGTTTTGAGAAGAAACATTAAATAGACACCTCTACTCAGTGAAAGTTGCTGGGCTAAATTATTCACGAGATGCAAATCACAGACCAATATTTGTGGCTCACTTAAGCACACTTTCCTCTACATCCCTTCTTTCTACTGATGCAGATTCTGATATTCAGAGGCATCACTACCAAATGTTTTACTTTGCCCCTCCTGAGCTGTGTGGTGCCGGTACACCAGTCATTGCAGATCTCACGGAAAACTGTTATAAATAGCTTTAAAGATCTACAGTGTTTGTTCCAAGCAAATGCATTGTGGCCATAATTTTGTGGATGATGCCAAAATGTCGTTTTAATGTTTGTTTTTTTTTTTTTTTTCTTTGTGTTATTATACGCTTCACAATAAAATATCTTAAAAACTGGCTGTTCATTGGTAGCCTGTGTTGATCATATTGTTATTTGGTATGTTAATATCCTTTACAAAGCATCGCCATCGCATGATTTCCAAACATGGAAATCCAGTAGTATTGTCATGATTCACTTCTTAAATATTGCAAAAGCAAAGACAGGGAATAAGAGATGTCTCCTGGCATCTGCTTTTGTATCCAGTAGTGAGTCTTTGTAGCGCTAATTGAAAGCTCCTTTCACAGCCTTCCTGAACTTTGTTTACTTTATGATAATTGATGAAATTTCTAAGCTTTCAAGCATTCAAGAAACTCTCTGGGAACACCCTATTTCCCTATGTATTCACACAGAGAACAGTGCCTGCAAGAAATGCTTTTCATCATGTCAGGGAGGGAGCAGGAGCTATGTGTGAGCTGTAGCTGAGATTGCCTTTTGCTGGTAGCATCTCTCGTGTACTGCAGACACTACAGAATGTGTTATTAAATGTGAAGCCAGGAGGCACATGAGAGGTACGTATCATGCTGTTGCCTGGAAATTATGCACATTGTCTTTGCCAAGATGAAGAGCAAACCTTAGTTTTGTGAGCAGGGTTTGTATGGTAATTTAAGTTTTACCTGAAGTAATGGAGCATCTCTCCTCTACTCGCTCCTTACAAAGTCAAGACTTCTTCATTTGCAACCACCAAGCAGGCAGCCTGCTAAGGCTGTGGGAACACTGGCAGACTGAATTGATTGTACCAAGTGCCTACATTTCCAGTAAGGCCACAACAGGGAGAGAGGTGCCTGACTTTGGCACTATGAAGAGCGACTTTAAGCCTACCTTTTCTCAGTTGACTGTAAAGTGAAGGTAGGTGCTCTTCATAGAGACTCTTTCTAATTGTGGCCTCAGGGTTGGGGGTTGTTCAGAAGTAGGAAACTGCGGGTGTTTTAGGTGTGAAGTCAAAACCAAGATGCATGTCTCAAGAGAAACCTCTCTTCCCCCTCTCTGTCACATTTGTTGTGATACGAAGGTAAAAGCAGCATGTTGCTAACTTCTTTTATTAGGCAGCTGATGTAGCTGGAAGAAAACAGGCCAAATTCTGGCATGTATGCAACCCTTTCTTCAGGTCTTAAACTCATCAGTCAGATAATAGAGAATAACTAAAACGACCTTTGAAAATGCTGTGGATACATCTCCTAACTGCATTGCTCTTTCTTCTGCTTCTCCCATGCTTCCCTGGACAGAACGGTACGTATAACATAGACTCTCTTACATTTCATAAGTTTCAGTATTTTCTTTCTTTTTTTTTTTTTTTTTTGACAGGTTCCTGGCAAATTCACCATTAGCAAAACGAGGTGGAACTTTGAAAAACATTCTCTGAAATTACAGAATGAGGTTTTAGAAAAAAAAACCAAAAAAATACTGTGATCACAACTTTTCTACACAGAAATTACTCTCTGTAGAAAGACTGGACGTTGTTTCCCCAGTAAATCAACATGAACTGTATCTGTATTGTTAAGGTTGACAGAGGGAGCCCACTACTGGATAGAAAGGAATATTGATATTTACTAGGGACATGAAGATGTAATAGAATCTTACAGAAAATACTCACTGCTGAATATTGTTGTAGCTATTAAGAGTACAAGAGGAAAATGGTGTGAATCTCTAAGGAGAACAGGCTGAGAAAAAAGATGTCTCCAAAGAGTTAATCCTTTCCCCCACCATGATCCCTGACAATAACTAGAAAGAATGGTGACTTGAGAAAAAAAATATTGTCCCTAAATCAGCATGTCTGAAAGGAAGATGCAGGAAAACTGGTGAGAATATTTTGAGTCTTTGCCATTCCTTAGTTAGTGGTTGTTGAGGCGCCAACGCTGATTTCTGCAAATATAATTTAACTTTTGAACTTTTGCCCTGATCTTTTGGAGAAAGAAATTGATAGGTTGCAACTGTTTGTCATGAGCTGTGTGGGTTTGGGTGGGGTTTTTATCATTTATCATCTGTGTGGGTTTTTTACATGGATCATGTAAATGTGGGTCAGCTTAGAAGTACTGATTTGAAGCTGATGGAGATGAATTTCCCAGGCTTTCCTTCCCCACTTTAAAGGCTGAGTAGTCTGCACTTCTCCAGTCTTCTCCATTACCCCATTTCTCTGCGGCTTTGGAAGGTAATTGCTGACACTTCATGAGTTGCTTAATTCCTTCTATAAGTGTTGTAGGAGGAATGTCCTCATGTCTGGTCAGGTTGGACTGACATACTGTATCTAAATTCCCATGATTTGGTCCTTCTGTGTTTGTTCCCTTATTAAAATAAATTGTTTTAAGTAGGTAAGGATCCTTAATTTACTTGTCAACACTGAATAATTCTGCTCTTTCTATACTTACATAGTATCTATGTTTAGTTATACATACTATCTATGTTTGTCCTAGATAGACAATACTCTTAATTTTTCTTCTCTTGCTTTTAACATACTTTCTTTCAGGTGTTTCCCATTTGATCCCTCTGTTTCTTGCTATTCATTGCATAAGTACTTACTGTTCTGTTTCTTTTGATATTAAGGTCATTAGAGAACTCAAAGGGTCTCATATTTTTATACCTTTTGTTTCTTAGTATAGACTGCAGTTATACATTCTGCAGTTCTCTTCCTAAGAGGCTATATTATCCAGTTTCCAGATGTTGCTAAAGCCTCCTTTCGAAAAAAAACCCAATGTTTGGATTCCAGATTTAGATCCTCAACCACCTCCAATTATTGGGCAGAATTCAACAGAGCTTGTATTTTGAGAACTAATAGGGTCATACTGAGAATCTACAGAGCAGATTAAATTTTTTGCATGAATTACAGAAATCACTTTTTTGCCAATGCCTCTTAAGTTTTGGGGAGACATTGAGTTGCACAAGTCAATGGTCATGAAAGGCATCATAGGATTCAGGACAGACGAGATGGTATATACAGGATAGCAAGACTAAGGGCCAGTCTTGTAGAGTGGTTCTGTTGACAGAGTAGTTGATTTTGAAAACTACTTCTATATTAATAAATCAAGAGAAACTCTGATATTATAATTGAAATTGCATTTCTTATTTTTAGGTGGAGAAAATGAACAGTCAACAGACATTATCAGTGTTTGGGAAGGAGACTCCATCAGCATAACCTGCTCAATGCAAAGTTCAGAAAATGAAGTGGTAACAATTTTGACGACTAGCATACAGCCGGTCAATGTGATACAAGTTTCCAAGCAGAACGCTTCATATATCCTTCCTGCTTTGGCTAATCGTACCAAATATTCAAAGGAAGGAAGGAATCTCAAGATAACTCTGCACAATGTACAGGAATCTGATTCTAATATCTATCTATGCGCTAAGTATATTAAAAGCAAAGGCAATCACAAAAAGCTGTATGGGAAGACAAGCATAGTAGTGGTGAAAGGTATTGCAATTCCACCTTATATATATATTAAAAGAAAAAACCCCAGAACATCAATTCAGGACTAATTTAATCTTAGCTACAGGTTTTCACATGAGTCATAGGTTGCCGCAGCAGTTCAGAAACAGTGAGGACCCATAGCTCTTTCCAAAACAATCAGTCAAATCTTTATGCATAACTAGCAAAGCAAGTTTGGTAGTGATTTTTGCAAATCTTTCTTGGTTTTACTATTTCATCTTAAATGACAAATTGATAATAATTGGGAAGCTGGTGCTAGACAGGGTTTACAAGTTGGGCTTTCTCCTCTTCTTAACAAACAGTTGATGAATGGGCACAAATGTTCCTTGTTGCAGTCGCTTCTGATTAGCGAAAGAATTTTCTGTCTATTTTCTTTCTATTTTCTTTCTGATGAGACCATCTATTCTGAAACATCTTTACCAAAAATTACAGGGTTTTCTTCCTTTCCTGTCCCCAAGGCATGCAAAACCTAACTGATTGCTGGGTCAGTAATAGTCATTTGTATCTAAGAAACTTAATCATGCTCTTCCTTAGGCTTCTCTTGTCAAGCTTCTTGACTGCTTTCTCAAATTAATTCCATCTTGTTGCTTATGTACTGTTTCTCCAAATTATTTTATTAAATTACCTTATATCTCTTTTTAATTCTAAATCTCTTCTCTAAAACGCTTGCAACCTTCCCAGAATGATCTTTTGTACAAATGTGATAAATTCTGTCTTCATTCTCTTACCCACGTTAATGATAATGTCAGAAAGAACAGGGTCTGTCCTCAGAGGAACTCTGTCTTCCCAGCTGGATAGCAAGCCATTAATAACTGCTTTTTGAAGACCATTTTCAACATTGATGGCACCCACATTGTACGTTTTCATCCAGACCAATAGTCCCCTGATCTTTCTATGGCTTAATTTAACTTGAGAAAGCAGGAACGATCCATGTCTCAAGGGCAAGCTAATGAAGCTGGATTCCCTTAGAAGAGTTCAGTATACATATTTTTTAGGTAGGTGGAGACCCTTTTTAACCAGGTAAACCTGTTTGGTCCATCCTACTTTCAGTTCCAGGGGCAGGAAAACATGCCAGAGTGTACTGAAATATATTTTTCTTCTCAAGTCACGCATAAAGATAGCCTTTAAAAATTTTTTTTTTATCTACATTTCAGTGGTCTGTTGTTTCTGTCTTTGATCTCTGTATTTGCTCCCTAGTTAAAATACACTGTTAAGTATGTGGTAGCCATTAATCCCTCTTGTTTTTAGCTAAAAGCGCTGGAGTTATTGAACAGTCACCACTCTATGTCAATCCTCAGCAAGGCCAGTCTATCAGCATTACCTGTGCATTGAACAGCTCACATGAAGATGAAGGGATCTACTTGCTCAAGACTCACATGCAACCTGAAAGAGTGCTATATGTTTCAAATCAGAATGATTCAACGATCTTTCCTGCTTTTGCTAATCGCTTGGAATATTCAAAGCAAGAAAAGAAAATAGTGATAACTCTACACAACCTACAGAAAAATGACAGCGATATATATGTATGTGCTGGGGTGATTAAAAATTTCTCTTTCCTCTCTGTGAATAGAAGCGGCACCATGATGCTGATTAAAGGTACTACCCTTTCGCTTGTTTAATCGCTATGACTGTAGGCATGTTGTAATACAAAAGGTGGACTAAAAGCTTGCAGAACTTCAGTCAGAACAGGTTAAAGCACTAATCCATGGCTAGAACTTCTTCCAGTATTTGGGAAAGGTTGGAGAGTGTGGTCAGACCCCTCTGCACCCTGTGATACGAGGACACAGAAACAGGCACTATGTTTCTACCTGCCTTGTACAACTGGAGGGGAATTATAAAAGGGAAATTTTTCTATAATCCCATATGTTTTTTATAAAAAGGTCAAAATCAGACAACAAGCACTTCAATGTGTCTGTGAATAATCTGTCAGTTTTGGGAAATGAATCAGTATTTTTAGCATCAGTTCTTTGACCTTAATGTGACATAAATGTCTTTTATAAACTGATCCCCATAGCAAGTCTTTGTGTTTAAAAATAGGTCACACTGGGGAGTACAGAACAAGTCCTCAGGCATTTACTCAAAGTACCACAGATAATAGCACAGATGATCTCGCACACCCTCATTATTCACTGAGCACACTGTGAGCATATGCTCCAAAGACAGGGTTTTTTCTTTTTCTTCAGGATGATGGCGTAGCCATTCAATAAAATGAAGACAAACCAGCAATACAGTGCTTGATTTTGAAATTCCTGGTGTAATTTAACCCAGTGCATTGAGCTTTGATAAGACCTTTGGGTAATTAAAATAAGGTTTCCATAGACCCTAAGAGTTACAAAGGATCTATCTGCAGACTACTAAAAAGACTCGTCTCACTCTGCGCCACCAGTTATAACTGGTGAGTTGGGGAAAATTATATCTGCACATCAAAGAAGTGGGGTGCTTACCAGATACTACATTATTCAGATATGGATTAATTGAGGGTTTTAGAGAACTGTAACCCTTTCCACTAGCACTATTCTGCTCATTGTATATATTTCAGATCACAGTAGCCTCCTATTTCTGTCTGTACTGCTTGCAAACCTAGCCGTTATTTAATATACTCATGGCTGAGCCCTCGGTGTTGCTGTAATACTGCAGTAAACCGCTTTTTGTTTCCATTATGAGTGTGTGGTCCTGCTTCTGATCAGTGGTATGGAAGTTCTCACCTTTGTAGAGTGCTCTCACCAACCCTTCACATGCCACCTGCAGTTGTCACCAGCCTCTAGAAGAGCACAGGGAACACCAGTGAGAACACTCATGGGATGACAAATGTGGCTCTGTAGCATGCTGTAGATATCTGATTTCTTGCTGACCGGTAAATATTTTTTTACATAATAAAAATAGAATTCTACCTCTTCATATTTATAATAATAATTAATTTTACATGCAGAAGTGGAGGACACACACTGCAGTCATAACTCCTGGGGCTTCTATGGTCTTATCATCATGGTAGCACTACTGTTTTCTGTGCTGACCTGCTGCATCTTGTACCGTGTTGATGTAAGTACACTGTTACCATACCAAAGCAAAACTGGATCCTGGCTGAGTGAATAGTGTCTTTGATATTATTTGTAAATAGTGACTGAGTCAAGCAAATGTTTTATAAACCTAAGGAATCACGGCTTTCTATTGTCTCCTCTTTGCCCTTGTTTAATGTCTCCCAGCTGTAAAGTGTTGGCAGTAAAGACCATGTCTACTTATGTTTCTGTAACTCTTAGTAAATAGTTTGGTTTTTGATAACAAACCTCACAGTCAACAGCGCAGCCATGTGTTGTATGTATTTCCCTGAACAGAGCACTGTTTTGTTTTGCTGCCTTTCTTTTTTTTTTTTTTTTTTTGTTGTATATAACAATCTTGTAATAGATGTAAGAGAATGCTTGAAGGGGGACATGAGGACAACAAAAGTCATAAAATAGCCTAATATCTGAAAGTAGCTGTAGGAGAACAATTTTGCTCTGTCCTAGAAAAAAAGGTGACTGAGAAATTTTTACTTTACTGGGATTATTTACATGCATATTCTGCATGAAGTGACCAGGAATTATTTGTCTCTGATAGATCCTTCTGCTCCATAAAGATTACTCAAAATTAGCTGAGTATGATTCACAGGCCAGGCTTCTATCTCATCCCTTCGCATACGGCTTCAGTACTGCTAAAAACCAGTAGTATAATATCACTCTGGCAAAGCTGAGTGGCCCTGTGGAACTGATATCTCATGTTATCAGTAACCAACTCAGGATAAGCCTTATTTTTGTTGGGGCCAGAGTAACGTCCAACTCTTGAAGGAACTTTTAGTGAAATTATATCAGACTGACAATCGAAAGTTAAATAAATAGATTGACAATTTCCACCTAATCCCTTAAAACCTCATTAGAGGAATTTTAAAAGTACATTTCCACTTCAAACAGATGGACTCCTAAGTTATAAATCGACTCCTTGGTTGTTTTTTTTTTCAAGCTCTGTTCTGAATGGCTGTTTGCTTTGTTTTGCAGATGAAGAAATACTTCCAGAAAAAGAAACAAAATACAGTATATGAAGATATGTCTTACACTTCTAGACGGGGCACCTTGGTCACAGTTAACACTTATACCATTGACAATTAAGCTTCTGCCAGCTGGGATGGTGTGTGGATGGATCATTCCTTTACAGGTCTCTCTGAGAGCTGCCTTAGCAACCTGATGCAGTAGCTGAACTAAAAAAATGCTATCACCTACCTTCTTCAGTGGAAAGAGAAACTCTGCCTCATTTCCAAAACTGTTTCTGGTTTTGATCTCTTGTAATTATTTTTTTTTAATTTAATGTAGAGAAATGCAGGTACCCTGCACGTGTGTTTGCAGTTCTGTAGGGAAAGCAGTACTTCTGGACTATACATTTGGCTAGATGAAACACATGGGCTCATTTATTTGACTGATCAATAAACTTTTCAGGGAAGGAGGGATAGGAATGTTCTGAACTTTGGTAAGTGCTCAGGAAGGCCATAACAGGTCTGTTTAATATATGCAATGGATCCACATTTGCATGGATTACATTTCTCTTAAGAATCCTTGTGGGTCTGGCCAAGAGCTCAGGTAGCTAAAACTACTCAAGAGTTATAGCAAAGAAATCTATTCTGAAGAGACTTCAGAAACATTGTGGCAGATGCATTACAAGTGAAGTGCTGTGTATGTGTGGGCTAACCTATTCAAGAATCTTAACAGTCCCACAAAAATGCAATCACGTCTAGATTTTAAGTTACTGCCTTTGACATGAGTGGTGTGGGTCTTGGTGTGGTTGACTTGCAAAATGTTGGGGCATGATGGCTTTTGGGAATAGTAGAAATATTTGCGATGTGCTGGTGTTGTCTCAAACTCCAGATGTCGTAGGACTACACAGCAGAATGCATTTCTCCTGGTCAGTGACTCTACACTGTATAGTACAAGGTAAACTAATCTGGGATAAATCCAGTGCCTGCATTCCAATCTGGGCATGGTGAGTCTGATCCAAAATCACTCTTAACACGGGAATTTATCAAAACCTCATATCCGTCAAGTAGAAACTAAATTTGGTTTAGTAACAACTTAGAACAGGTTGCTACGATGAGCTTAACTCTCCTCTAGCTAAGGAAGGGATACAGTTTCCTTCAGGGGTGTTTTGGTTTTGCAGAGCTGGATCCACTGTGGAAAGTCAACAGCCTTGCGTGCCCAGAGGAATATCGAATTGCCCTGTGATGAGGCAGGATTGACAGGGTTGGCTTGTGGTTTCTGGGAACAGGATAAGACTAGAACTTTTCTTTATTGATGCATTTATTTAGTTTTATGAGGGATTAGGGCTGGTTTGCCATTGGTGAGAGTGGATAGCTGGAGCCAGATCCAAGCCTGTCACTCGGAACAGCCCATTTCCCTCCAAATGTCACTGGTGAAATGCTGTGCGCTAGGCCTGAGGAAGAACTCTGCTCACTGGGGTGGCTGCTGGAAGGATGGGGGTGTGTTGATTGCAGACCCTGCAACCTTCATGTAGCTGTACCTGAATAAAATTATGTTTGTAATCAGGGCTTTGTACAGTTGCTCACTATTTTTATACATGTATTAAAGACTATTTCATGTATCTTGCAACTGAATGCTAGTTATTGAATGGACTGTTTCTTTTAGTGTTGTTGTGTTGGTTTGTTGTTTTTTTTTTTAAAATAGTGATTCAAAGACTTCTTGCAAAATGCAGTATAACTTGCTCCTAACAGCACCTCAACAGATAACATAATAACTATTTTCCACTCTATTTACACAATCAACATGTGGGTTGTTTTTTGCTTTAAAACTAACACTGAAGAAAACACCAAAAACCACCTCAGACAATGTATATTTGGCGCAATCTTTTCAGAGTGGCTAAGATAAGCTTCTTGAAGAGCTAAAAATGTCAGATGGAGACAGGTAAGAAAGAGATGGCACTGGGGAAGCTTGGTCTGTCCTTCAAACAGCACCTGGCACCCAGCCCCGATGACGGAGGCGGCACCTCATCACTGCTGACCTTGTTTAATGTCCCCGTGAGCACAGCCCCAGCAGGGTCCCATGTCCCCTCACAAGGGTCCCACCTCCCTCTCTCCATGGCCTGGGGGAGGCAGGGCCCACATCCATCCCCTCGCCATGTGCAGCAGGCCCCATTGCCGTGGTAATGGGAGGCCCGGTGGTACCCATGGCACCCGCTGGGTGCCCTGGGAACACTGCTGGCCCCTCTGCCCCCTGCCCTGTGCAGGGCTCCCCCCAGGACGTCTCTGGGTGGGGGGCAATGCCGCCTGCAGCGGGGCCAGGTGGAAGGCCCTGACTCAGAGGGGGCTGGACCGGAGCGGACCCCGAGTGACGATGAAGGCTTCACAGCCCCTCCTTAGGAGAGGTGCACCCCAGCACTCCCCAAGCCGCTCCCAGGGGACTTCAGGGTCCTCCCAGGGCCGCTGTTCGGCGAGGATCACCTTTCCCAGTTTGGAACAGGGAGGCTCTCCCACCAGAGCCTGCCTGGTGCGTGAAGGCCCAGGCTGACCCGCTGCAGGAGGGGCTGACGGAGGCTGCCACGTTGTCACCATGGCGTCCCCTCCGGCTGGGGCAGGCCGTGGTGTGAGGCTACGGCCACACACATCCCTGCCCGGGCAAGGCAGTGCCGCTGCTTTGCCAGGCATGGGGACAGCAGCAAGACCAAATAGACCAAGTCTAAATGTCCCCCACAGCATTTAGACCATTTCTGCCTTTGTCCCTCAACAAGCCCAGCTCAGGGGTGGATGTAGAGCCAGGGAAGATGATCTAACAAATTAGATACCAATGTAGGACCTAAAATACCCATGGTTAATCACTTTCCATCACATTTTCATTTTTGAAAAAGGTTGCAGGTTTAGTAGAAAAGGCCAATACTCCCAGAGAGAAAATGTGTGGAGATTCGAGATGAGCAAACTCACATTTGAGATCAGCTTTCTGTAGCAATACTACTGTGCAAACATGACCACAATTGTGTAAAAAAACAAGCTGTAAAAGGAAACAGTAGTGGAGGTGGTTTCTTTGGCTTGGTGTAAATAAGTTTAAAAAAAAGAAAAGCAAAGCCTAGCTGAGGAAAATAACATATAGTGAGACATTTCATGAGTTGTACTTACGTGGAGGCGAAAAGAATCCACCCCACAGTTAACCCAAGCAGTGGTGAATGAACTGCATGAAGAGAACTGCTGGGTAGATCAGCTCAGTGGCGTCTGAAGAAGAAGTTGGGTATTTGGCTGTTCAAGAGGGCCAGAGAGGTCCTAAGATGCAGCATAGTGTGAGCTTCCCTGAAAGGCAGACAAACTGAATTTTTCATCTCGAGTTGAAGACAGAATTGCTCTGGGATTGTTCTGTTGCCTTTGCTGTTTTTCTGTCTCCTGTCCCTGCACTGGGGAGGGAAAAGGTCTTCAGGGAGAGGTGGGAAGTGCAACACAGGGCTCTGAGACTGGCCCAGGACGCAGAGCAGTGAGAACGGTATCAGTATTAGCAAGGTCCCCATCCCTGTTTCAAGGGATGACAGAGCCTGCAGCTGGGAGCAAAGCAGCCTCGGGCCGGGGAGCAGAACTGCAGCTCTAGTATCGGGGTTTACTGAACAGGGATGGAGAAAGATGAAGCAGCCGAGTAAGAATAGTGTGTCAGAAGCAGAGAAAACATGAGAGCAAGGTACAAGCCATGGCAGAAGTGACTCAGAGGGCCAGGTCTATATGGAGTGGCCTGGGCTGAGCCCTTGGGAAGGAGAGGGATCATCAGAAATAATTTTTTGTTATTTGCAAAACTGGAGAGACCAGCCAGCACATGTAGATTACCGCTGATGGAGCCCATAGACCCAGTAAAATTTAACTGAGGAAGGCATTTTAACCCTTTGACCAAGGCACCTGACAAGTACGTGCTTGAACTCAGATGCCAAGGATGTTGATAAGCTGAGTTGAGCCACAAAACATTTTGCAGGAGGACTCTACAGGACAGAAGCAGGCTCTCCTCTTGCTGTGGCTTGTGATATATTGTGAGACACTGGATTATTTCCAGTGACTATCCTGCAAACAGATGTTTATATGCTTCTAGCAGTTTTAAATGTTACACATTTCTAAAGCCTACATTGGTAGTTTCCCAGAGTTAGTTTCTTCCACCTGTCTATCACTGGTTGCTGCTTATGATCGTTCTTCCATCCATTAACTCATATAAGAGTCATTCTTCTTATTATTTGGAGGATATGACCAAAATATGTCCAGCATTGCTGGTTCTGGTGAAGACAAGCTACTGATTGGTGATTTCTCAAGGTCCCTGTGTTAGTGAAAAATATATTTCCATTTACATTATATAATCTTTTTTAATCACTTGTTTTCAAAACACTTAGTTTCTTTTTGAGTGTCTTGTAACACTCAGCTTTCAATCATGTATTAGCAGTTAGCTTGCAGCCAAATTGAAAACAAGCAGGGTTTTTTCTGGTAGTTCATAGATTTGGTTTTCACACAGTTTGGAGCTCTGAAGTGCTGAAAATACCTTCCTGGTGTTATTTTTTTTTCATCTAACATCTTTGGTTAATGTGTTTCTGCTCTAGGTAATGAGTTATACCATTTGACATCTAATTTTAAGAGTATTTGTGTTGTCATGTATGATTTTGAACACTAATTTGAATGCTTCAGTAATGACTGGATACTGGCTATTGTGCAGCATGCAAAAAATCTTCCAAATTCCACTTGAAATGTCAACAAATTTTAACTTACTTTTTGTTAAATCACTGATAGTACCTTGCTGATCTTAACTCATATACCCAGAGCATCGTATCTCTACATCCTCACAGGCAGAGGAGTGGCTTAACATTAAGAGATCACAATTTTTTCATTCAAGAAAGTGAAATAAGGCAACTAGCCTAAATATTGATCAGAGTGAATAAAACACTTTTTCCTAACACTAAAATTTTACAGTATTGTCATCTATCTTGTACATTATCTGTCCAGCCTGAAGATGGGAGGTGACTCCACTATGTGTAAATAAACTTCTAGTAGGGCTGAATGAACTCTCTGGATGATGCTAATTCCTTCCTGTGCAACTGCTTCATGATTATTTTACTTTTGGGTGCTATTTGATTGCAACAACTGGATGGCATATTTCTGAAACTTTCCCCAGAGAACATGTCCATGTTCCCAGACAAGATACCCACCCAAGGTATTAGAATGGTCTGCTATACTCTC